TTTGGTTCAGATTAGGAACCGTGACATTTAAGAGTCCGAGCTGTAGCTGAGGTCCCCCGCGGGACTTGCTACAGGATGTGATTAAGGCCGAATTGTACAATATTGAGGCCGTTAATTAGGATCTCTTCACTTTACTTGCTTGTCAAACTGTATATTTTATGTGTGTTTAATGTCAATCAGATTATACATAGTCGGAGCACAAAATGGGTAAAAAGACAGAATTTGGAGAGAAAATAGATTTATGCACGTGCGTTGACTTTTTTGCACGTGCGTTGACTTTTTTGGGAAAACAAGCCCAATGTTTTAAACCTATTTGAAAGACAGCAGAAGTATAAATAGGCAGGAAAAATGTTAGATTAGGGTTCTGAAATTGATTTTTTGCAAGGAAAGAGATGCTAGGGTTCCAAGAGGTGATTTTCTCTAAAAAGTTTGAAGGACACTTCCATGGGGTCTTCTTCCTCTTCCCACTCCTCAATGAGTGCTAGTCTTCTTTTCTAGGGTTTTGATAAAACCCTAACCGTGTAATTAGGTTTTCTTTTTTATTTTCAATTATGTAAAGGTCTGAACAATTGTATGGTGTTTTAGAAGTTTCATATATTTATTTTCCATTATTTCTTCAAATATTTGGCTTTCTGTGATTGTTGAATGTTTTCCATATAAGAGTTTTCTATTCTTTCACATTCAAGGTATAAGACGAACCATATTACGAGAGACGAGTCGTGTCACTACCTTAGTTTAGAGTGAACGATTCGTACTATTTGAGATGGTTCGTGCTCATACATTAAACGTGATGATTTTTTTGTTAAATGCTTTGAACTTGTAGTTGCGAAGCATTATTCCGCTCGAACCATAACATAATTGTTTTCAGTTTGAAACCTTATTTATGTAATTAGTGGTGGACTTATTGCCCTAGGTTTTTCTCCAAATCAATAAATCTAATTTTATTTATAATTGATAATTTAATTACTTAATTTAATTTATTTGTTATTAAATTAGGTTATGAACAATCAATCTTTTCATTAAAATTAATTTAGGAATTTAACAATTAAATTAGTTTAATTTTACAATTGTTCCTGTGAATTGATACCTAAATTTGTTATTATTCTAAAAAAATTTAGTATAATTTTGTGTTTAATTTTAATGTGTATAACGATCCATCAAAGGCCTACGACAGGGTCACGTTCGTTACGTTAAAAGTTCCTTGTGGGTTCGGCCTTGTAGCTCCCGTTGTCATGTTCAACCTATCGTCCATGGAGAAAATGTATCAGACTCTAAATAACTCTCCATTTATTTTGGCAGAAAATAAATTTTTTTTTTTTTGGTGTTTGATTGTAACTTTGAAGCTAATAGTGGTAGAATAAGATTAAATGCATAATTCTTTACAACATTTTATACTGTTTACTTACAATGGAAGTGGTGTGGTGATAATGGTGTGCCCATAGCAAAGACTTAGTGGTGGTGTGGTGATGATGAGGCAGCTGCGACAGGATGAATGGTGGATCCAAAAATTATGCAAAGGAGGTGCTAGGGTAAAATTACTCAAATTTGGATAGGGCAAGAAATTTTTGATTATTTTTAGAAGGCCAAAATACTAATTTTTTTTATTATTATAAATACTTAAAATTGCATGGAAGTAATGATTTTTTTTTTTTTTGAAATTTGGAAGAACCAAATTAAAATTACATAAATTTTGAAGATATCAAAACGTGTATTTATCTTATAAATGCTTAAAATTGCATGGGATTATTGAAATTTTTGTGAATGGTGATAGTGTGGCTATTGTTGGCAATGGTGATGATAGTAGTGACAGTGACAGTGATGATGATGGTGATAGTAATGTGGTAGAGACAATAAAATTTTAAATGATTCATCCCACGAAAAACATCACCACTAATAGCACTAATGCATTAAAAAAGTAAAAAAAAAAAAAAAAAAATACAACTCAAAGACCAAAGCATCACATCATTAATGGCGGGACCCACTGCCACCTAATTAGTGGGAGCACTAATTAGTGCTCCCAAACATTTTTCTTTTAAAAAATTAAATATCTTCTATCCAAAAAAAAATTAATTTCATAGAAGATAGAGAGAATGTTTTTCAATGCCAAAACAAGGCCTAAATTTGTATTTCAAAACAACCAAAACATGAACCATTATTACCTAATAGACTTAGCTTGATTGACTGAAAAGTCCATATCAAACGGGTCGGGTCCACGGGTAGAGGTCCACTTGCTAATTTGACTGAATTGGAATAGTATAACACCCCTCATGCCACAAGGGTGCCATTGATCAATTTTGGGGAGGCTACTATATAGTAGTCCTCTTCATTTTGATCTGCTGCGACAAGTGCAGCACTGGCGCTGTACTCGCTCTGCGTAAAGTTAAACCTTTTCTGAAAAATAATCATAATCATTAAAAACCCGGCTAACCCTAGCGAAATATAAAGAAAATTACAGAAAACTTTTAACTCATTCGGGTGTCGAACCACTTTCATGATCCGAATCATTCGTGAAAAGGCAAACGAAATGGCCGCTGGAAGCCAACCAATAAGTAAAATCAATGACTTGGAGTCGTCTCCATAGAAAGCACGGTAGAGCTGAGTGATAATCGCTCCGCTCAACCCAACGAACCCCTTGAGGAGGCCCAAAACAACGCCGCGGCTCTCGGGGAAGTTCTTGACACAGGTGACGAGAACGTCGGTGTTGGCGAAGGATTGGGAATTGGCGCCGATGCAAATGTAGAGACACATTTTCCAGATTTGGGGAGTGGAGATTTTTTTGGTGACAGAGAGCCAAATCATGAAGTAGCCGAAGAAATTGAGAATGGCACCGATGGAGAGGACGACCCAGGGAGGAGTGACCTCGTTGATGAGGCCCGATAGGATGCCGACGTTGGCGCCGAGGTCTTTGAATAAGCTGAGGAGGTTGAGGGTGGTTTGGTCGTATCCTAAGGAGGATTTGATTTCGGCAGAGTAGAGTCCGAACATGTAGGTGGCTCCGGCGGCGAACATGATGAGGAAGGAGGCGAATACCATGAACCACCGCCCTGTTAGGATTTGGCGGGGTAGGGATTTCATGGTGCTGACCATTTTATTGTTTCTATTTGTTTTGGTTGAGATTAAGAATGAAGTTTTTTTTTTTTCCCTCTTTGCTTTTTGTGTTAAAAGAGCTTGGGACTCCTGCGCTAATATATATAGATAGAGGGCTTGGTCTTTCCAAATAAAATATATAAAAATCATATCTCTTATCTTTTATTTATCTAAATATAATAATAAAAAATTATAATTATTTCTTTTTGTCAACTCACATCTAAACTTTAATAAAAATTTATGATTATTTCTTTTTGTCAACCCACCTCACTATCTAAACTTTAATATTTGACGTGTACTTGATGCGTACTTGACCTCAAGAAAATAAAATTATATGACGTGTACTTGACCTAAAGAAAATAAATAAGATATTAATGTTTTCTGATATCACTGCTTTGACTAGAAAACATCAAGAAGTGTGTTGTTGCTGATCTTATCGTCACTGTAAAACCAGTCCCCGATGAGAAGATCAAATTTGGCTTATGGTTTAGGAAAGGGACTAAGATGACATCTCTGTTGTTGACTCGAATGGGTCCACATCCTCCAGCAGCCTTCTGGAAGTTGATGGAAGGGAAGTAGATGAAACTGCCAATCTGATCTTTGACCTGGAAAACATAAGTTGAATTTAATAAATTTAAAAAAAAATAGTTGACAACATAAATGAAGAATTAAATTTAAAATAAATTTCCGAATTAAAATAAATTTTATATGTGAAACCAAAAAATTTGAATTTATCAAAAAATAAATGAATGGAGAATGAAAATCAATTAAAAAAATAAATGAATGGAGAATGAAAATCAATCGTTGGCAATGGTGATGATAGTAGTGACGGTGACAGTGATGATGATGGTGATAGTAATGTGGTAGAGACAATAAAATTTTAATTTTAAAAAATTAAATATCTTCTATCCAAAAAAAAAATTAATTTCATAGAAGATAGAGAGAATGTTTTTCAATGCCAAAACAAGGCCTAAATTTGTATTTCAAAACAACCAAAACATGAACCATTATTACCTAATAGACTTAGCTTGATTGACTGAAAAGTCCATATCAAACGGGTCAGGTCCACGGGTAGAGGTCCACTTGCTAGTTTGACTGAATTGGAATAGTGTAACACCCCTCATGCCACAAGGGTGCTATTGATCAATTTTGGGGAGGCTACTATATAGTAGTCCTCTTCATTTTGATCTGCTGCGACAAGTACAGAGTAATATTGGCCAACATGAACATCAAGGGAGTCCAATGTGATCTGATTGGTGTAGGACCCTTCTGTTTCAACCAGCATCATCTGATGGTTTTGAATCCTCAAGTTGTAGCTCAATGTGGTCCCCACATTTGATATGCTGAATCTGTATGTCTTACGTACATTCCACACAATATTTTGGTTTAATATGATTTTTTAGGGTTGGTTTGAGATATGGATTGATTTTTTAATTTTTTAATTTTTTGTCTATTTTAGTTTGGATTAAAAAATTTTGTTTGAGATAATTTTTTTTTTTATTTTTGTGAGAAAAAAATAAAATGATTATAGGTTAGATGTGATGTTTTTTTGTCTTATTGGATTAAAAATCTAATTTTATCTTTTTGTGACTAAAAAAATCAAAACACAAAAACCTAACATGTCAAATGAAGGCTTAGTTTAAAATTAAACATCATTCTTGTGATATTTTTATATGACTGTGTACCGAAAGTATAAACAAAAAATTATATTCTTAGTTTTTTTTTTTTTTTCCCTCTTTTTTTATGTGTGTCAATCTAATCTCTTTATTTTCAATTGTATTAATTTTGTTTTAATTTTACATCGTGTTAATTTAGTTTAATTAATAACATTCTTTAAAAATTAGATAAAAATTAAAGACAAAATAATTTATTTAAAAATAAATTAATTATTTTAAATTAGACGTTAAACTAATTTCTTCGGCTACTTCATGATTTGGCTCTCTGTCACCAAAAAAATCTCCACTCCCCAAATCTGGAAAATGTGTCTCTACATTTGCATCGGCGCCAATTCCCAATCCTTCGCCAACACCGACGCTCTCGTCACCTGTGTCAAGAACTTCCCCGAGAGCCGCGGCGTTGCTTTGGGCCTCCTCAAGGGGTTCGTTGGGTTGAGCGGAGCGATTATCACTCAGCTCTACCGTGCTTTCTATAGAGACGACTCCAAGTCATTGATTTTACTTATTGGTTGGCTTCCAACGGCCATTTCATTTGCCTTTTCACGAATGATTCGGATCATGAAAGTGGTTCGACACCCGAATGAGTTAAAAGTTTTCTGTAATTTTCTTTATATTTCGCTAGGGTTAGCCGGGTTTTTAATGATTATGATTATTTTCCAGAAAAGATTTAACTTTACGCAGAGCGAGTACGGCGGCAGTGCTGCCGCTGTAGTCGTTCTGCTGTGTTTACCGCTCGTGGTAGTTATAAAAGAAGAGTATAGTATTTGGAAGAGCAAAAAAGAAGCCCAACTCCAACTCCAACTCCAACCACAATCCATTGATTTGAAAATCGTAACCGAAAATCAAAATACAGAAACAATTTTGCCACCATCGGCGACCAGTAATGGTGGTGGAGAAGTACTAGTACTACCAACATCACAAAAACAGGCTGATTCTGATTCAGTTTCCTGTTGGAGAACCATGTTCCGGCCACCGAACAGAGGCGATGACTACACAATCCTCCAAGCGCTCTTCAGCATCGACATGCTGATCCTCCTCTTCGCCACCACCTGCGGCGTCGGAGGAACTTTAACAGCCATCGACAACCTCGGTCAGATCGGAGCTTCGCTCGGATACCCAAAACGGAGCATTAGTACTTTCATATCACTCGTCATCATATGGAATTACCTTGGCCGAGTAGTCGCCGGGTTCGTCTCAGAAATCGTTCTAACCAAATACAAGTTCCCTCGCCCACTCATGCTCACCCTCATCCTCCTCCTCTCTTGCCTCGGTCACCTCCTCATCGCCTTCAACGTCCCCAGCGGCCTCTACATTGCATCAATCATAATCGGATTCTGTTTCGGAGCTCAATGGCCATTGCTGTTCGCAATCATATCAGAAGTATTTGGACTCAAATACTACTCCAGATTATACAATTTTGGATCAGTGGCGAGTCCAATTGGATTTTATATACTCAATGTCAGAGTCACCGGACATTTGTACGATAAGGAAGCTGAACGACAAATGAGAGCGTCAGGGGTGATCAGGATGGCCGGGCAGGGCTTGAATTGTGTTGGGGTGGATTGTTTTAAGCTTTCTTTCATTATTATCACCGCGGTGACGGTGTTAGGAGCGCTTGTTTCGGTGCTTCTGGTAATCAGGACTAGGAAGTTTTATAGGAGTGATATTTATAAGAAGTTTAGGGAGGAGGCGGAGAAGGAGATGGCGGTGGCCGGAAATGGGGCGGCCGGACTGGTTTATTGTATTGGAAAATGTGTTTAAAATGATAGTGGAATGTAAAGTTACCAAATTGCCCCTATTGAATATTTAATTGGACATACTTGGTAATGGCCACGTGGCCACCATTCCGCCCACATTAGAAACGGAAATCTGCGTTGATACGTGGCCACATTTACGAAGCAATTATCACATGGTGCAAACAATTGAAAATGGTATTTTTCATATTAAAAGTAAAAATTGTATTTTTCATTGAAAATTGCCATATTAAAATTAATGGCTATGTTTGGTTCTAATTTTTTAAAAACAGTTTTCAGAAAATTCTATTTTCTTATTTTTCGTATTTTTTTGTTTTTACTGAATTTTTTTAATATTTTATGCAAATTTTTTACTTTTTAGACACACTTAACATAAATACATCTAAAAAGTAAAAAATTGTAAAAAAAATCTTTTAAAAATTCACTAAATACCAAAAAATATAAAAAAAAAATACAAGAATTTAAAATGTTTAAAATTTTAAAAATATTTACTAAAAATAAAAAAATACGAAAACCAAAAAACTCAATTTTCAAAAAACTTAATATAGAAAAAGTTTCGGCCTCAAGCACAGCTGCGCGCGAGCTGGACGTGCTGGCGCCAAACTAGTTTTTGTATTTACAACCTGACTCAAGACTTTTCCAAAATTGTTTCAAAAAAGCCCATTCCAGAATTTCCACATAAACACTTTAAAATACACACTTAAAAAACTCATAAAATAAATTTATCTCCCAAAGTTCTTGAGAAATTACAAAATTATCCAAAGTTTTTAAAAACTCCATTTTGGCCCCCTAAGAGTTCAAATAAGCTTGACAGGCACCTAAATTTTTTGAGAATTATTCCAACACCCTTTTTCAAGTTGCAAAAAAACCCAAGAAATTTTTGAACTTCTATAAACTCCCAATTCTGCGCTTACGGCTTCACAAATTGCCCCAAATCTTTCAAAGACATATTGGCAAGTTCTCCAAAACCAGTAAAAACCAAATATTGGCTAATCAGCCAAATTGAACTAAGGCCATACATTGACTTGTCTAGATTTCAAGCAGTAGCGGCCAAGATTTCAAGATTTTTGGAGGCCTCGGAGTAAATTTCAAAACGGGGCCTTAGACCTTCGACAATAATAATTTTTAATTTTTTGTGGGTCTTAAGCGATAATCTAAGTGGCATAATGGTTAAAGCACCGTTGAAACTTTAAGTTTGGGAAAATGAATTGAAGAATGTCCTAACCTTGATTGACATTGAAGGACTCATAGGATTTTGATTACTCAGGGTGCCCATAAGGCCCTTTGCCATTCATCAAGGCTCCATCAAGGACACCACCACAGGACCCTACTATGCTCTTTCTTTGTATTAATGTCCTTACCACCTGTTCCAATTACATATAACATTAGCAAATAAATGACAAATGCTATTTTGAAACCAAGATATACCATATTTCGAATAGTAAATAAATAAGATATTAGTGTTTTCTGATATCACTGCTTTGACTAGAAAACATCAAGAAGTGTGTTGTTGCTGACCTTATCATCACTGTAAAACCAGTCCCTGATGAGAAGATCAAATTCGGCTTATGGTTTAGGAAAGGGACTAAGATGACATCTCTGTTGTTGACTCGAATGGGTCCACATCCTCCGACAGCCTTCTGGAAGTTGGTGGAAGGGAAGTAGATGAAACTGCCAATCTGATCTTTGACCTGGAAAACATAAGTCCAATTCTTCCCCGGCTCGATAGGGGAGTTGGTGCCAGAGACTCCATCTTGCCATGAATTTAGCCTCTGTTGTATCCCATTCCTGCACCATTCCCAATTTCTTCTTTATCCAACAATTTGTTTTGATATGCATTAATTTTGTATCACTTTTTTATTTATTTATTTTTTTTTGTAACATTAATGAAATGATATGTATTTGACGGTCTAAAAACGCAAAAATGTTATGAAAATTTGAACATATGGTGTAAATTTAGACCTGAAATGAATCCGATTCATACATTTTAAAGACAACTACTTTACCTAAAAGGTGTGGCAAAAAATTCACCTTGTGCGTGAACCAACATACTAAATTTAAAAATATGTTTCATTTTATAGGCATTTTTGGGAAATTTTTTTTTTCTTCCATTCAATACAAGAAACCGTGATAATATTATCAATACTAAGGTGAACATGGAATATATTTAACCTATCAGTTTTTCTACTTACATAGAAGCTAATCACGGAATCAGACGTAACTCTCTCAAAAAAGTATAGGACCTAACTCATGTTTTGTTTATGTATACCTTAAAGTTTTTCATGAATAGACATAGCTTATATGTAATAATACTATACCATGTTAAAAGTAAGGGCTCGTCAAGATTGTCGAAGACGTTAACATGGACCATATCGTTTGTTGTAGCATTGATCAGAGGCCCTGGGAACATCCCATTGATGGTGATCACCTGTGTCATAAATTTTCAAAATTCTACATTGTTTTTTGTTTTTAAAAACACACAAAGAATTGAAAAGAGAACATAACCGAATGGAAAATTGAAGTGATGATTTCATCATAGTGACATACAGATTGTCTAAACGAATGGGATCGATGGTGGTGTCAATGGAAAAAATTTCTTAACGTATTGACATAAATTTATTCAATTTCTTAACATATGTTATCAATTGGACTAATTGACACGCCAACAAAAATTTAATAGAAAATTTTATGCAATAATCGAATTGACATAAGAGAAATTATAGGAAGCATTAGTATAACTTACACACACTCAAAAAATACATCAGGAGGAAATAACAATGGAAGTGTTGATATGCCCTTCAACGGCATATGCCGACTCTGGATTGATTAAGGAAACATCTTGTTGTTTGATATTCATATATATGATACATAGCATTGGCCTTGGTTTGATCAACCTGTAGACCTAGTAGAGTCCGGCCATGGCATGTATATATTTATAATGTCATCTGTATTGTTATGCAAGTTTGATTTTTGTTATACAAATACAATATAATATCTAAATCTCTCCCATTATATAATTGAGAAATTGTTGCGGCTACGCAACTTCAAGGTCTAATTTGTTGAAGAGTAACTGAAGAGTCTGTACCTTGCATAACATCCGAGCCTAACACACATTTATTGAAAGTTATACCCACATAAAAACAGTTTTAAGAAAATTCTACTTTCTTATTTTTCGTATTTTTTTGTTTTTACTGAATTTTTTTAATATTTTATGCAAATTTTTTACTTTTTAGACACACTTAACATAAATACATCTAAAAAGTAAAAAAATTGTAAAAAAAATCTTTTAAAAATTCACTAAATACCAAAAATATAAAAAAAAAATACAAGAATTCAGTACATTTTTTGTATTTTTATGTATTTCTTAATTTTTTAAAGTATTTTTTCACATTTTTTTTTACTTTTTAGATACATCTAAGTATGGTGTATCCAAAAAAATAAAAATAAAATGTTTAAAATTTTAAAAATATTTACTAAAAACAAAAAAAGGCGAAAACCAAAAAACTCAATTTTCAAAAAACTTAATATAGAAAAAGTTTCGGCCTCAAGCACAGCTGCACGCGAGCTGGACGTGCTGGCGCCAAACTAGTTTTTGTATTTACAACGGTCCCATGTGGGTCCCACACCCATGTGAGACATTTGGTAAAACTTTTGATAGAATTTTTGGGGCCTCTAGCATTTTTGATAAGAGAAATCAAACTCATGGCCGTGGTTAGGAATATATTATTTTAGTTGGTTATTTAATTTTTTTATAAAACAACGTGTAAAAATGTGAAGAAAGTGATGCGATATCGTGTGTTGTTTTAGAAAAGAAAAATATTATAGGTCCCCAATTTTCTACTAAATAAATGATCAAATATTTCACATAAAGGTATGGAGTTTACAAAATTATGAATTCCACACCCATGTGAGGTATTTAGTCATTTATTTAATACAAAATTTAATATTTCTAACATTACCCTTTATAAATGATATATAAGTCCACTTTGTAAATCCATTTACTAAATCTAATGATGGGTAAGTCAAATTTTAAAAATAATATGTAAGTGATATAGTTAGCTAATAATTAAAAAATATATAAGAAATGATATTGTTTTTAACATTCTAATTAATTATCATATTATTTAGTTTAAAAATTAAATTAAATTTTTAATTTTAAATAATAATACTATTTATTTTATTGACTATTTTAACCTAAGATGGGCTATTTGCCTACTGAATAAGTAACTATATAAACTACCCGATCAATATGACTGGTGTAGAAATGTCAAACAAATGGGTTATTTGGGATGACCTAAATAAGTGCATTTTTTGTCTTTTTACGAAAAAATATGCAGAAAAATAGAGAAGTGATGTGATGAAAAAAAGATAAAAAGATGAATTATTTTGAACTTCCCAAACTTTGCCAAAGTCTAATTATCTATTTTCCTATCCTCTTTCTCTCCCATTAATAAAAACGATCATGCTACGTAGCTCGAATGCCGCGGCTCGAATCGCGGCTCGACACCAAAACGACGTCGTTTTGGTGTCGATTTTGTATTTTTTTTTATTTTTATTTTTTTTTTTTCCTGGTTTTGCAGAAGAAGAATTTACTAAATACTTATTTTTATTTTTGTAATTATGTTCAAATTTGCAGAGATGAAGCAAAGTTAATTGAGAAAATTGTTGAGGAGGTTGGAAATATATTAGATCTTGAACATCTAAGTGTTGCAAACCACCCAATTGGACTAGATGATCGTGTGCAAGAACTCAGTACGTTGTTGGGCATGGAGTCCAATAATAATGATGTTTGCATTGTTGTAGTATGGGGGATTAGTGGAATAGGCAAGACAACAATAGCTAAAAAGTTGAATAATCTCATCCACCGTAAATTTGATGGTAGTAGTTTTCTTGCAGATGTTAGAGAAACTTGGAAGCTACCAAATGGTCTGTCTGTTTTACAACAACATTTTCTTTTTGATATTTTAAAAGATGAAACTCATCACATCAGAAATCCTCACCAAGGAAAGGAGGTCATAAAACGGAGAGCTTTGTGTCGA